AAACAAAAACAATATAATTCAATCTAAACTCATTTGGGTTGGGGGAGGGCCCAAAAGCAGCACCCCACAATTCAATGATAGCTGCCGACTAATAAATCCATACAAACATACATCATACAAATATATATATATATATATATATAAATATAGTTATAGTAATAGTAAAGAGTATTGCAATTATTGAATTTATTTTGGTTGGGATTCAAAATATTTTCTTTGAAGGATATCCCATCCATCAGAATTTAGACCCCATTTCTTAGAAAGTAACTTTGAATTTTATGATAACGACAACACATCCCATCTTTGTACCCTCCCAATCTTCCTTCATGGTACTCTCTAAATTTCTAGTTTTTAGCTTAAATCCTATTTTTCATAAAATATTTTTTAAAAAGTTTATTGTTCCATAATGGTGTATGTTATTCTAATTTTACCCCTCATTTAATATGAACAGTAATTTTATAAATATTTTTAATCCAAGTAAAATTATATTTTTTAATTGTAAAAATTATTTTGTATTAAAAAAAATCATAAACCAAAATGAAAAAATTACCAATAAGTTCTGATTTATTTTTAAAATTATTATTGAATTATATCAAGTTTCAATATTAACGAATAAGTCCTATTTTCTTTTTAATTTTATAAATTGTTATAAAAAAAAAGTTCAATTATTCATAATAATATTTTTTTTGTCATTAAAATATGAACCAAAAATTCCATAAATAATTTTAATTTATTTCAAAAAATTATAATAAAAACATCATAATAAATATATTTTTAATTGTTGAAATTAAATGAATTTTCATAAACAAACGTAAGATTCATCAACTATTTCATGCATTGAAAAATTTATAAATTTGTCAAAATATTATTTTTCCTAATTTTTTAGAATTTTATTAGAATTTAGCCTTTTAAATTGTTTACACTAAAAAAAATTCATAATTTAAAATAACATAAAATAATGCATTTTATGTTAAGAAAATGCTGTGGTGTGCATCCTTTTAGGGTGCAATACTACATGCACCCTACCAAAAAAAATGTAACTTTATCACAAAATTTCGCACCATCAACCACAAAATGCATAACCGTAACCTTACCATAAATTAGAGTAATAAAATTTTCATAATTTTGTGATTGATGTTACAAAAATTTGTGAGATGGTTACGATATTTTTTATTACACCAATTTGTAGTCACATTACGCATTTTGTAATTAATATCACGAAAATTTGTGGTAAAGTTATACCTTTTGTGGTAAGGATAGTTCATGTGGTGTGCACCGTCTGTTATAGTTGTTTTGATCCAATTGTTATTTATGACTTTTTAGATATAATATTAATAATTTTTACAACTAAAATTTTAAATTTTAATTAAGTTAAAATTGTTTATAAAAAGGGTAAAACTATAATAAGATACACCATTATGAAACAATGAATATTTTGAAAACATTAAACTTAATAGAACTTAATAGTAATCTTGAAAGCAAAATAGAATTTATTGATAATTTTTCCTTTTTTTATTTATTTAGCAAAAAAGGTGTTTTAAATAAAATGCAATATTGTGCCATTTTTTTACTATTGCTAATTGTTATTTCTTATATTCTAAATCTTTTCTCTCTTTTTTTGTTATTTATTTATTTATTTATTTTTTGAGTAAATGCCACAAATATCTATATGATTATATCTAATCAACCACATTCCTGCCAATGTTATGATAAATTTTTTATCCTCTTCATTATTTTCTTAATATTTGCTTCAAAACAAAGAATCAAATCATAAACAATTCAAGCGTATTAATACAAACGGTAATGATAGAGAGCTCTAGAAGTAGAGTAGGCCTGCAAATGGATCGGATTCGGATTAGGATTAGATCTGTCAAAACCCGAATCTGATCTAAATCTGTTTAGCCCATATTCGATTATAGATATCCGAATCCGATGATTTTGGATATCCGATCCAATAATCCGATCCGATTTATTTATTTATTTATTGAGCTACAATTTTATATAATTTGATTTTTTTTATTTTATGTTTTTTTCATTCAAATTGAAAATAATCAGATCAAATTATCGGATTGGATCGGATTTTTGCATATTCAATCCGTTTAATAAACGGAATAAACGGATTCAGATTATCGAATTACCATATCAGATATTTTGTAAATGGATTCGAATTTTCGAGTCGGGTTCGGATTAAATCCGATCTATTGACAACCGTAAAGTAGAGCTATAAATTAAGCTCTACTTACGTGACAATGAAAAAAAACACACACACACACATACATCACATCAATGAGTACATCACATCAATGAGTGGGCTCCATCCATTAGAACTCTTATTTTAGAACCATTAAACATTTTTGTAATACAAAATGATGAGTAGTAAATGAAATAATATAACTTTCAGGATTTTCTTGGCCCACCAAATATCTAGTTCCTTTCGGCTTTGGTACACGAGACATCAATATGGGTTCGTTTGGAATGTAAGTTGATTTTTTGATAATTACATGGTGGTTGGCCTAGTGGATGACAATTAGGGTATAGAGGTTTACTATAAACCAAAATCAAAAAATTCGAATCCCTTAGCTCGCAAATGCATATCTTGGGGACACGGCCCGCAATGCGTAACCCCTCTTTCGGAAGGTTTGTTTGGGCTGTAGGAGCTTAATCTGGTACGCATAAGTTGGCCCAGGATACCATACAAAAACAAAAACAAAAACAAAGTTAATTTTTTTATTATTTTAGTTTGGAGTTAAAAAATCTCGTTTAAGATAGATTTTTAAATTTTTTTAAATTTTGTAAAAGAAAAAATAAAGTGATTATAATTTAGATATAATATTTTATTTTATTGTTTTTTTTAATTTATTTTTTCATTTTATAACTAAAATAATCTTTTAATCCCAAAACTTACTATGCCAAACGAGTGCATAGTACTTTGGAAATAGTTTTTGCACTATAAATTTGTGCATGAAAAATGTTTGGGACTTTAAAAAAAAAATTAGGGAGTGAGCTTTACCATTGATGTGATATTTTTTTCTTACGTTTTTTTTTTTTTTGAAACTTTCACTTTGCTCAATTAGAATTTTAAAATTAAAGGAAGAATCATTGTTCATTTGTGCATCTCTCTGACTAGTCTCCTTTCTGCCTCTCAATCAGGATTTGACAACAATTTCTGTGCTCAATGTCTGGAAAAAATTGTATGAGTCTTTTATTTTAAAATGCTGAGTCTTTTATTTTTAAAATGATGTTGCCTAATCATCATATGGAAATCTTCCACAAAAGTTCTCCTGTACGAAAGTGAAGTATGGCCTTTTGGATTGTGGTCTAGAAAGAAATATATATATATATATATAGATAGATAGGAGTGTTTTGCAAAAATGATAAAATGTTGATTTTTAACTTTTTATCAAGTTTTTTTTGACTTTTTAAAAAAATAATTTGAGAAGTTGATAAAAAATTACTTTTTTATTTTTTTGATTAATATTTATCTATAACATCACATCACACTAAAATGACCAAAATACATCTATCTAAGGAAATTTACATTTGGCCCTAACCCTCAAGATAAGGAGGATAATTACTTAATTTCACAACCTGTTTTTTGGTCACTTCCCAAATGACCAAAAATGTAACTTTGGCATTTTGTGAGGCTGCAAAAAGTAAATTTTTTGGTGGGGTTGCCAAAAGAGCACATATATTCATATAGTAAATTACATCGGCATTTCTTGCGTTTTCTATTTAATTCAAATCTTTCTTTATATTTGAAAAATTATACTTATTTTTGTCAGATTAAAATGACATATTTATCTCTTAATTATTATACATATAAAATAATAAAATAATATAAATATTTTGTTCATGTCATTTCAAAGGAAATAACAATCATTTTTTTTAGTTTAACTCACAAAAAAAATTAAAATTTTTTATTTTTCGTTTTTTTATTTTTACTGAAATTTTTTTAATATCTTAAGCAATTTTTTTTTTTATTTTTTAGATACACCTAATCTACATATACTTAAAAAGTAAAATATTTTGTGATTTTTTTTTAAATTCAGCAAATACAATATATATATATATATATGTTTTTTTAAATTTTTTTATAAATTTTATACTTTTTAAATATATCTAAATTAAATTAATTTAATCTATATATAATGGTGAAAATAAAAAAAAAAATTAATTTAATCTATATATAAAAATTTATACAAAAAATATTATAAAAATGTTGTAATAGTGATATTGTTATAAATATAAATCATGTTTATGAATATTTTGTTTTATAGTAAAAAATCACCATTAAACTATATCATTATATTTGAAAATTTTATATAAAATTTATATTTATATGTCATTTCTCAATAAGAATATATTCTAGTAAAATTTAATGACGAAAAATTATATAATATAAGCATGATAATAGGCAAAAAATTGTAGGAAAAATAACAAAATGATCGTTTAAAAAATTTTAAGACATGACATCCTCAATTTAGAGGCAATTTGTAATAAGATTACAAACCTCAGAGAAGGGAATGTAATTTTTCAAATGTGAAAGAAAAATCTATATTAAACAAAAATATCAAAGGATGTCAATGTAATTTACCCATATATATATATATAGACTGGTAAATTACACTTCTAACCTCTATGGTCTCTAATATTTCAATTTGAACAATATTGATCCTAGACTTCAAATATAATTTCGATTTAGACCTTCTGTTCAAATTAGACGTAAAAATTCACAATTCTTTAACACATGTAAATCTCATTAAGAGTACATGAAGAGAGAAATAAAATAAAATTTGATGATAATTTAGACAGAATAATCAAGCTGAAACTAAACTTAAAGTTTACCATTAGCATTGTTCAAATTGAAATAATAAGAACAAAAGTGAAATTTAGGTCAACTGCAAGGGTGAAAAATGTAATTTATCAGGGTGAGGGCGGGGGTGGGGATTAAATTTTGCAGCTAGAAGAATCATTGCACCATGGACACAACCTGAGAATCATGACATGATCAATAACAGAAACAAATGAACCATTGGAAAAATAAAACAAAATTTAATTTCACAATGTAACAAAAACCATCAAGGGAATACATTACACAACATGCTTTAGACCCCTCCGGATGAGGCATTTGAGTAAAAAGGGGATCTTCAACTCCTACATTTGAACTCTCTCTCTTCCACCTAAGCTGTTAGAAAACCACCTTCAACAAGCAGTCATGTCCCATGAATATGTCTGTGAACAGGTGGGGCATCAAAAGTTTTAACCACTTCCATCCATGGTTTGTCTACGATCAACACAGATTTTTTTGAAAGATGTCCAACAAATAAAACAGGGTCCCTGAAAGCACAAAATTCAAAATTCTTTCTACCATTGTGTTTCGTATCCAATTCGTGGCCTTTATACTTCCGCTTCAGTCTTCCATTAATGGGAGAGTTCTGCAACTTCTTCAGCGCCGGATCATGACCATTTGCCAAGTCATTGTCATCATCTCGATCAACTGGTAACCCAAAGTCAATCAAGCACATTGCCCTATAAAATAAAATAAAAGTTTTAAAAAATAAAAATAAATAAATAAAGCATTCTATGTTAGTATATCTTGTCATGACTGACGATCTTCCAACTATGAAATATGCTGTCCATAAGAGTATAGGATGGGTTTCCCAAGGGACATCAATAAGTGATGATGACAGTCCAATCCCCAAAAACTTACTAACCAAAAATATATTTGTTTGGGAAAACATTAATATTTAAACTAATTAGGGTCATTTGAGCAAAGAATATTACTCAAGCTTGAGCCAAAATTGCCATGAAAAGGGAGTCAAAAATTAAGATCATTTATGAGATAAACAAGCCAAAATCCCATATTGAGCGTTGTTAAATTCATGTTGAGCTTTCTCTCTCAATGAGCACACAAGTATCCAAAAACTGCATAACAAATCAAATTACACGATATCAGACCAACATCAATTTGATGCAGCACATTCTAAAGCATATGGATATAAAACAAGCCACGGCCAATCACAGTTTGGAGCTTGTAAGTTCTTTGAGCCCAGATCAAGCAGTAAACCTCTAAGCAACTTGGCTCATTTATTCTACCTCAAGAACATTCCTGTCCCCTGGAGCTGGAGTCCCTATTGCCTCACGAAAGACTTCAGACAATCCACATTCACCTAAGCTGTGTTTGGTGGGGAATTTGAAAAGAGAAAGGGAAAATGTGTGTCAAACTAGGTGAAACGTAAAGATATTTTATTCACATTTCCCCTACATTTTCCCTTTCACTTTCCCTTTCTAAATCTCTTCCCAAATCTCTCAACCAAACACAACGCTAAAGTTCAATTGAATGGGCATCAAACAAGTCTCAGCTCCAAGACAGCAGAGACCACTCCTACTGTGGAATGGCAACAGATCGCATTTTTCAGGTTTCGCTCGCGAATTCTTGATTTTAAACTCAATTATTTTAGGGACACAATTTCATACTTTACTATTAACTTGCCAGTTTTGACCTATCTACTACTACACTTTACCCTACCCAATCAATGCTCTCTCAAACAATTCATATTAAAATCAGGTTAGAACAAATACAATCGGGGAGGGGAATTATGATTCCATGTTCAAGCTATGTTTGGATCATGGATGTGGCTAAGAGATCTGTAAAGCGAAGGAAACAGGGAGAGAAACGTGAATGAAATATAAACTAAATTTTTTCTCCATTTCCCTCACCTTTTCTTTTCCCTTTCCCAATCAATACCCAAATCCATGATCCAAATACAGCCTCAGTGTACACTGTCCACTCAACCCCAAACCAAAAATAGAAAGACAGAAAGAAAGAAAGAAATAATACAAGAATATTTATTACTAAAAAATCCATCCTCCCAGCAACAACTTAAAAAGAGAGGAATTGTCAAAGAAGCAAGGAGAGATGAGAGCACCTAGAACTGTAGATAATAACGGATGACGAATTTGAGGATGGTGGAAATGAAAGCCCAATAACTTCCCCAGGAAATTCTTGGTATCTCCTGGGCAGAACAAATGTGTGTCGTATGGACCATTCCCCCAACTGTTTGGCTTCAACATCGAATGCATAAACTTGGTTTGAAGAGGTGGAGATGATAAGCACATTGCTGTTCCGGGGAGTAAAACCACCAGCTGCTACAGAGGCACCATCCAATCTAGATATGAACCAGTGCTGCCTGTGTCACAACACAAAACCAATATATCAAACACTACACTACTATGAGATATATGAAACATGTGGTACATAGATGCTTGCCCGCAAAGTCATTCTCGTGACTTCAACAAACTATTGAGAAGCTACCTACAGATCACTACCAAAGCAATGAAATAGATAAATGCTGAAGGACTAGAACACAAAACTGTTCTTTTGTTTTAAAGCATGGGATTTAGTTTTAAAACCCCCCACAACAGAATATCGTCACAAACCATCAAAGAAGAAACCAATTTAAAGATCCAATTTAAATATGCGATAAGAGATATCCAGAAATACTTTATAACATATAAAATGACCCACCAATATTCACTTAAAGATATTGTCGTAATAATTACCGAGTACGGCACGCGGACACAACAATTTTCAAAAAATGCAAGACACGACGTGTGGGGAAGACGCACAAAATATATAGTATTATATGTTTATTGTATGTTATATACATGAATATTTCGTTCAAACATAATATTTATTAAAAGAAAGAGAGAAAGAGAGACAATATAACACTAATTTCTAAAGTTTAAAGGAGGGATAAATAAGTATGAATCTACCTTTTTTCTTTAATCATTGGATCCTAAGTTATTTTGTTAAATCTTGTAATGTGTTTTTCATGTTTGTCTAAGTGACAGCACGTGTGTCCCCCAAGTGTATGAGCTATTTCTAGGTGTAAATTATTAAGAAATAAAATTAGTAATATAGCAGACACAGCATATATGTCCATCATCAGAACTTCCATCTACCAAATAATACTTGCTCGTAGCATTGCAATTACACAAGGGACCAGAAATAATAACAAAAATATCTACCAAGGTTAGTTTCACACCTTTGTATCTCTAGATTAAATACATAAATATCTCCAAAGCAGTTGATAGCAGCTACCCACTGACCATCAGAACTGATGAACATTTTTGTTATGGGAGGCTCACTAGGTGGCAATTGCTCATCATGCTCCCTACGGCACGGTGTAAAGGTATGAACTAGTTCTGAGCTTCCCACATCCACAACCTGCATTACACAAAAAAAAGGTCAAAAAGTTAAAATTAGAAAATATAAATGATTCACTGCTGCCTCAAGGTGTTATATAAATGATTCACTGCTGCTTCTTTATGGCTTTTAACTCTCATATAATATCATGCTCATAAAAGAAAACACATACTTATAGTTAAGACAGATCACACACAGAAGAGGGCTTTATGACACAGAAGCACAACATATTTCAAAAGAATAATAATATGATGTGAAGGAGTTGCAATCTCCAGAATAACAGATTGACTTCTAACAAGAAAAGTAAAACACATGTAAGTAGGGGGAATAAAACATCATCTCGAAAAAAATGTAAAAGGAAAATAAACGAAAGAAAAACATTTCAAATTTTCGAATAAAGGCAGACTGAAGGGTGCAGTTATTGTGAGATATTGCAATATTGGCAAATAAATGCAAAATGGCTTGGGAAAAGCATGCTGAACATTATTTGATGTTATTTATCATTTATGTTTTATCTTCTTTTTTCCATGTTTTTTTTTTCCTCACAAGCAATGGGATTTGGACTGCAATGTCTGCTCTATGATAGACTGCAACTTAGCAGTAGGTAAAAGGCATCAGTTAGAGCCGAAAATAATACCAATCCCCCATATATTCTTCTGCTAGATCATTTGTATATGTATACAACACATACACCTTGGGTGTGCACTCACACATACAAAAAGAGATGGCGAGTGAAGCTAAAGATTAAAAAATAAATGCAATCTTTATGCTTCTAACAGTCTCAATGGAAAGAATGATAACAACAATAATACTAACAAATAAAAGAATTGCTAAAAATCATAAAATACCAAACAAACAACCAAAAAGAGAAGCATGTGCATGAAGTATATGATATACACAAGCCACTTGACTTGGCAGCAAAACCAGCCTCAAAACATTAAGCACAGATCTCAAGTGAAGTTCGGTCTTATAAGGTATAGAAGATCCGCAGTTTTAATTTATCATCCCTTATCATTATCATCATCATCATCATTATCATTGTGATAAATGCTGAACGGAAAAAAAATGAAAACGAGAAACAAGAGGATGAGTAACACTAAAAGAGAAATCTCACATATATCCTTCTATCATGTCCAGCTATCATCAACCGAGAAGAATCAAAGCTGAAAACCATAGAATGCGCGAATGGTAGATTCGAAGGAAGTTTCCTTTTATTTACAGTCCACGCACTTTTTCCAACTCCAGACCTTTTTAATTCGAACAGGCTGGGTTTCACATGGTCAGAATAAGCAAAAAGCTTTCCTGAAGTAGAAATGGTGCTGCAAATGATCTTTCGAGATGCCTTACTCTTTACCCGGGCTAGCAAATTCGTTGTCGCAAGGCCACCAGAAGAACCAGAACCCATACCAGGAATGGCACTGCTTTTGACACGAACACACAAAATATCTAACCAATATGAAGCCTGTACTAGAAGCAAAGGTGTTTGATCAAAGACGGTATTCAGCACCAGTTGACTGGGAACTCTCTGTGGTGCAGGGCAGATATCATGTGGAGAGAACTTGGAAAACTCCTTGGCAGAATAAGCAAAGAGCTTAGTGTCATCACCAGCTGAGATAAGCATAGGAACTCCCAGATGGGCCCATTTATGGTAACTGAAATCAATGGGCTTCTCCATACCACGAACCCTTTTTACCTTTTCGTCAGGCAACAGATCTGCCAATGAAAAGAATAAAGTTAATGAACTGAAACACAGCTGAAATAAATATGATATAACACTAGGAACACAAAAACCCAAACAATATCTAGCATTAGTCATGGAAAAACCTTCTCGACTAATTGGCACTGCAACTGTTAAGGCCCTCACATCATGCGTATGAGCCCTAACATAACCAACATAGATCCATCTCTTCATCACTTTTGCAGAGGAATTGTCATCACCAGACCCAACTGTGTCATTAGAGAGCTTATAAAGAATAACCTACCCAAAAAAAGGCAACAGCATCAGAGAATCATACAGTTTTTTTTTTTTTTTTTGTCTATGACGTATCTCTTGCAAAAATATAAGATAAATATAAATCACAAAAGTTCTAAATAGAGCTACAACAGTTTAAAATGCTCCAAAACCATAAATGATGGTATCCAGCAAATGAACCACTGAAGCTCAAACATCAGCCATGATTCACAATCTTCCAACAAACCAACGAGTGAATCTCACTTGGCTCGTTCATAAAACTTCATTTGTTGAATCTATTACCATTGCCACTTTACTAAGCAAATAGAAGAAAACAAATTGATTACTATATGAAAAGGGTGTTCATGGGTCAGTTTGGTTCGGTTTGGCACTAAATTTGTAACCAACCCAATCATGATTGGTTTCAAGTTTTTGGACCCACAACCAAACCAATCATACACTAGACCCAACCCAACCCAACCCAATGTAGCTCGGGTTAGTTTGGGTTGGGACCACAGTTCCACTAAATTAAAAATAAATGAATCAATTAATAATAAATAATTAAAATAAACAAGGTTTTAATATTTGAACATAACCCAAATAAAGAGCAAAACATTGTTTAATACAAGCCAATACAAATTAAATCCATCAATACAACCAATACAAATTAAATCAAATGCAAAATCCAACTCAAGCTTAGTACTTCATTCACCTAATAATTCTTGTATGTGGAAGATTATTCGGTGCAATCAAGTTCAAGTTCATTATAATAGACCAATTAGGTAAAGACATGTTAATACAAATAAAATTTTAATATATATATAGATATAGGTTCAGTTCTTGGGTTGGTTCAGCTTAGGCAAGGCCTAAACCAATAATCAACCCAATCTTATCGGTTTTGATTATTTGAAGACCCAGAACCAAACCAATGCACTCAAAATCAAACTAACCCAACCAAAATAGGTTGGTTTAGTTTGGTTTGGTTCTTCAGTTCATTTGGTAATTTGAACACCCCTATATGCCAACAAGGTATCCACTGATAAGCAAGAAGCTTGCAATGAAAGGAGTACTTCTTTCTATATATAGAAGGTTAGGGATGTGACCGTAACTACACACCTAGATTTCTGGAATTTCGGTAGGATTTTGCAGAAGGATATCAAGTTGTTAGAATTTGTCTCTATTACTGAGGTTCCATACATAGGTTTTGATGGCACATTCTCTCCTAGTAGGATTTGCAAAGGCAATTGTGCCCATGAGGCATAGCGCCAATGTTGAGCCTCAAACATTTTCAAAGTATAATGAACATTTTCAAAGTATGAATTTGACACCCCAACAGAAAGATCCTACCTATGCATGTGTTCTTGTGCATGTGCTCGTCCATGTTCATGCTTCTTATGTTGTAGATGTGTCTTAGACATTGCTTGGTAAACAATTATGCGTCAAAAATATTAAAGTTTAATTTAATTTTTTAAAATTATTTACCAAAATTAGTGTCTGTGTACATGCACTTGAGGGGGGGCACCTTCAATTTTAAATCATTTACCAGAATTAATCTGTGTACATGTCCTTCAATTTTGAATCTAACAAGCAACAAAAATAACAAAATAAATGAAGTAAACCCGAGATAATACTGCAGAATATTAATTTATTGTACAGAACTTCACTAAGATGCTAATAAAAGTTTTAGATCAAGACTCCATTACTATTAGTAAACTGAGCGTGTAAGTGACCTTTTTCCAAGATGAACTTGACCCTCTCACACCTATGTTGCACTTGCTCAACCTTCCATTTCTAATTTAATGAAACTTTGCTGAATAGCAGGTACTTTTACGCTGTGTTTGGTGGGGAATTTGGGAAAAGATTTGGAAAGGGATTTGGAAAGGAGAAGCGAAAAGGTGTGTGAAACTAGATGAAATGTAAGTATATTTATTCACATTTCACCTACATTTTCCCTTTCCCTTTCCATTTCCAAATCCCTTCCTAAATTCCCAACCAAACACAACGTTAAGTTCTGTTATGAAGACTCACATGATTGCACATACAGATTGCAAGAAGAAGAGTTAAAAGAGGAAAAGGAGCTATCTGCTATTTGACATAAATGATGATTCAAATTCAGGACAAGTTTCCAAATGAGGACCAACAGGTAAATTAATCTGCCAATTCCTTAATATGTTCCGTACCAACTTGAATACTGAATTAATCATGCAGTGACATTTTTTATTGGAATGTAACACCTGGCATGGGCACTGAGTTACTGGCACCAATGGAACACACTGTGCCACAATTGTTTAAGGAGGCAACAACAAAATGTCAAAACTATCACGTAACAACTAAATTAATGATAATGAGAGTGGATGGCATAGTAATTAGACTTCAAATCATATGCTGAACTTGCACGGCTAAAGCAACATGACATCCTCTACTTAAGTTCAGCCTGTTTAATGGTTCAATCAAGGGTTTATGCATAAAAGTATTGTGAATACAACTAAATTGAATCTTAAAAAGAACCAGTATCCAGTACCTGACCATCAGAACCAGCAGAGAATACCCTGTTATGGCTAGGAGCTGCTGCCAGAGTATTGACGTCACCCTTGTGACAAGAATGAGACTGCAAAAGGGTTCCAAGCTGACCATCCCAAAACTGAACACTACCCATACTATCTCCACTAACAAGTGTCCCACACCTATTTTTAAAAATTTTAAAACAAAAAAATCTAGTTTTAAACAACATAAAGTGGCCCAACAACCAAAAACTGCACCCTTACAAAGATAATTGCAAACTCCATAGACTATATACATCCAGTATCAAAAAAATAATTCCACATTTACCTCAGTGCAAGTAATGACCATATGCAAAGATCGGGTCCACTGCCCGAACCTCCAAGCCCAACTGTTATCCTATAGATCTCATGAGCCAGTTTAGCATCCCAGCATCTGATGAACCTGAAAAATGCCATATCGTATTTGGAAATTTTAACAATTTGTATTACAAGAAACTTTGGAAATTTAATAATGTCCACCTAAATTACAAGCTATTAATAATATATGATTGGAAGCATGTGGCACATCTTTTGCAATCAGAGGCATTGAAGCTTTGTGCCTACAGTTAGCTCAAAAAATTGGCGTACCCATCACTACTTCCCGAATATATCAAATTTCCATCAGGACTCCAGGTCACACTTAGAACACGCCCTGCAAATGTTAACAAGACAAAAGTAATTTTCATAGAATGACAGCAATAAATGAAAAAGCATAGTCATTTGTCCCAAAAGGTGCAGTAATCTCACCACTAACCCTTGTCAACGACTTTACATAAGTCAACTTTTCTAAGTCGAAGATACTATATATTCGCACACAACCGTCATCACAGGCAAGTGCTACACGCGATTTTTCAATGATTGGTTGTTCATAAAGCTCAACCAAGTTTTTATCATCTTCACTCTCACTTATTTCATGCTCATCATCATCAAGTTCATCATTATCATGCCCATTTTCAATATGCAAGGGCTCATCCTTCATACGAAGGGCTGAACTAATATTGGTTGCTGCAGCCATTTGCCAAATCGAGACACCAATTGTATCTAGCACAATCTGCAAACAAATATAGAGTAAACCAAATTATTATTAGTATAATCAAAAGGAATAGAAAAACAAATGAAGCAACAATAAATGACTATAAGAAGCATCATCAATCCTCATATTGACACATTTCAAGAAATCTGCAAGTCATTAATCCCCTTTCAATTACCAGTCAATTAATGCAATAACAACCGAAAATAATTGCTTGCAATAAAAAAATCAGAACCAGTTTTGAAGTGATTTGGGCAGCATTTAACATGAATTGCCTAACCAAAAAGCTTATTTTAATTGGGATACAATTGAAAAGGATACATTTTTACACATAGAAACTTAATGTAAACTGTAGTGGCATCATAAACAGAGAGAGTATATTTATACCTTCTGTTTCAAATCAAAAAGATCCCATTCTGAAACCGACCCATCAATGCTAGACGAAAACAACCGACCAGAAGGCAAACCAGTCGAACCGGAGCGACACCAAACAAGAGAAGAAACCCTAGAATTGCTGTTTCCATGTATTGTCTATGAAGAAAATCAATCAATCAATCAATCAAATTCGTGAGAAGAGTAAAACAAGACATGTGACATGATATAGAAAACATGTACGAGTAGATGATGAAAAGGATTGAGTAGGAGGAAGAGTACCAGTTGGCAGTGCCAGCCGACGGAGCCGGGAGAGACGAGCCAAATCTCGAGAGAGCCGTCGTCGCGAGCGGCGGCGACTTGAGAGTCGTCGGCGCTGGTGGCTAGGGCTACGACGGGAGACGGCTTCCAGTCAATGGAGCTGGTCCGGTAAACCTCGAGCATTTCTTCTACGGCTCGATCGATCAGAGGCCGTAGAAAGAGATGAGTTTCAAGAGAGATAGAGAGAGAGTTGCGTCGCTTCGCTTGGAGAAGGGTTTGAAAGCAGTGAAGCAAAGGGGAGACGAAAGCGTATACTCCATAAACCCTACACCATATTTTCTAGGCGCACAAAAACGGAGCACAGATTTTAATACCGAAAGTGACGTGGCAGGCCACATCACTAACATGGGTCCCGCGTCGCCTGCGGGCTTCAAAAACAATTTATTTTTATTTTTATTTTTTTAAAAAAAGTAAAGGACTTTTCGAATAATATGCAAGTGTGAGTATAAAATTATCAAATAAAAAAATATTTATTTTTGGAAGTAAAAAAAGAGAGTTAATTTATTGATTTTTTTTTTTTAAATGTGTAAAAAATTAAAAAAGTGATATAACTTAAATAAATCAATAAATTAATAAATTGACTTTTTTTCATATTTCCAAAAGAGACCTCAATTAAACTTACAAGCTCTAATAAATTAAAAATTGTTTGTAAAATGAATAATATGATGTTGGAAGATCCATATAAAATCGTCCTGCACATAAACAAAATGAAAATAAAAAATGCAAGCAACTAAGAAAATTAAAGTACACTTGAGTAATGAGTAATATGAAAATTCAGTGTCAATGAAAAAGAGAGAACATATCATAAATTGTAGAATTCTTGGAAAATAACCCAAGATGGTTTTGATAAGGGACTGGGCAAAAATGAGCTTGTACCTATGCTTTTGCCTCAATTGTAAATAAGGTCTCATTTGATAACATTACATTTTAGTTTAAAAGTCAAAAAGTCACTAAAAAAATCAAAAAGTTAACAACTTATACTAAAAAGTCAAAAATCTCATTTTTTCTCTAACTTTTTACACATATTTTCGTAAAAAACTAAAAAGTAATCTCAAACATACTATTTTTTTTTATCATATTTTAACCAAAAAATCAAAAAGTTACTAAAAAAATCTGTTCCCAAACGAGCCCTAAGTTCCCATTTAACTTCTAAAAATAAATATTTTTATTTAATAAAATTGCTCATAAATAGTTTACCAATTTTGCCTTAAATATAATAATCTCCGAAAAAAAAAAGAGGTAACAAACTTATCAATGCAAGTTTTGCTACCACTAGACCCTAGCATGAATATGACAACGTATCCACGAAGATTTGAGTTGTGGTCACGTATGCAACCTCAGTCATTTGTGGCTATTCAAGATAGGCGTAACAAGTGACCTGATACAAGAGAAAGAAAATTTGTCTGTTAAGTTGAGGGTTATACGTTAGTGCACAGTTGGACAACAGTGTATTTGGTTAATCATTAACATCACCAATACAAGACGTCTAGACTAAAATGGACTTTAATTGGACGAGGGCCTCACTCAAGAGCAAGTTTAGTGTCATGAAGCAACATAAGCCATATAGGATGCACTTGTGGACGTTCAATCCATTTGCGGCATGGAAGCCAAAGCTTCATTGCGAGAGTTGTTCTTGTTAGACATAATATTGGACTTGCATTTGATAAACAAGTTAAGATTCAATACTTAATGGTCAATGAGAGATTAAGTGGATTTAAACTTAATGCAGTTGAAGCGCCTTATAAGCAAAAAGATACTATGTTGCGTACTTGAAATAGACATCTCGTGACAATTGGTATGAGGTCTTTATGCACTTTAGGTGCGTCGAAATCATTGCCATCCTTCTCCTTCAACGTTTCGCCGTCACCATCCCTCTCGTTTGCAAGCATCACCTTCTCTCTCTTTTTTACTTTGTCATTGCAATTGGATCAAATAATTTGGTAAGAAATGATAATAAATGACTTATAAGTTACATGATAAAGAAAACTCGTAAACAAGTTAGTTGAGATTGTCCATTAAATTTCAAATGAAAGAAAAAAAAATGTCACACACATATTTATATGGGGAAATAACTCAATAGTGATGTTAGACAGAAAAATAAAATTACAACACAATGTTAGAGATTATAAATATTAATAATTAAAATTATAAATTTTTGTTATTAATGTATAATTATTTTGAAACATTAACACTGAATGGTAATTTTCTCTATTTATATCACATATTCTATTTTATTTTTCCATAGTGAAAAAATACAGTTATTTCTTTTATTTTTTCACCTATATTAGATACTACAATATTTTGTTTTCCATTTTCCCCTGCGATCCCAATGGAGAGAACAAATGAAACATGCTGAAGCAATGAAATGATTTCTGACCAAGTGAACTAAAATCACATAATAATAAAAGTTGTTAAGTCCATTTAAATTTAAACAATTTTTCTAACAAAGACCTTTTCTATCTCTATATAACAAAAATTATTCAATGCCCAAGTACATCACGGGGTTAATATGAATTCATCATTTAAACAAGGTTCATGTTTGGCATAAGTTACTTTGGTTATTTTAGTAACAAAAAGACAAAATAAGATGAAAAACCAATAAGGCAAAAATATCACATTTAAATCATAATCATTTCATTTTTTTCTCTCACAAAAGTCAAAATAGTAAAAAAAAAAAAAACCATCTCAAACGAGATTTTTTAACCTCAAATTAAAATAGCCAAAAAATCAAAAAAATCAAAAAATCAACCTACATCCCAAACGAAGGCCTGATGTATAATACTTGATAAGAAAATTACATTTGGCAATGAAGTGTGTAACCTTAAACTTAATGTCATAGTATTCTTCATTACAACCTATCCTCTAGTACTCCTCTTGCTTGGTTATGTTTTAATTTTTGTGTTTTAATTTTTTAAGTAAACTACCAATAGGTTCTAATTGTTAAACTTAATTCCCATCAAGTCTTATTAAAAATAATTATTGATAAAATTGTCACTAAAAATAATATTTTTGTAACAATTTTTTATATATGTCGCTAAAAATTGACAATTAGTGACCTTTTTTGTCATGATTTTTATAAATTATTGCTAAAGCTTACAATTAATGACATTTTTTTATGACAAATTTTTTCTATAGGACCTATTAGATAATAAATTCACTTATTAGGACCTACAAGTAAAAACCTCTAATTTTTTCTATTTGCAAAAACAAAAACAAAAACAAAAAAAAAAAAATTTAAAGCACTCATCATTTTCATATCGCTTTCATTTTTAAGGAGAATTAGTTTTCGAAAACTCAAAAACAACATATCATATAAAGTTGGTTGTCTTCCAAATAAAAATAAATAAAACCCGAAAACAATTCGCCAAAATAATTTTTCTGTGCTTTTTAAAAATGAAAACAGAAAACGAAACAACCAAACAAACAGCAGTTACTCAGGTAGCGAGTATTTTCCACTTAATTGGGGAAGATAGACATGGATTTGGTACCTATCTCCACATCTCAGTTGACCCGAAAATAAAGTATACTTTCTATATCCCTAAAATATACATTCCTCTTGCCTTTTAGCGGTTATTTTACAGAAATATGTATTACAGAAATTATAAATATATATATATATATATGTCAAGAAGAATCAACACATATTTATATGGGGAAATAACTCAATAGTGATGTTAGACAGAAAAATAAAATTACAACACAATGTTAGAGATTATAAATATTAATAATTAAAATTATAAATTTTTGTTATTAATGTATAATTATTTTGAAACATTAACACTGAATGGTAATTTTCTCTATTTATATCACATATTCTATTTTATTTTTCCATAGTGAAAAAATACAGTTATTTCTTTTATTTTTTCACCTATATTAGATACTACAATATTTTGTTTTCCATTTTCCCCTGCGATCCCAATGGAGAGAACAAATGAAACATGCTGAAGCAATGAAATGATTTCTGACCAAGTGAACTAAAATCACATAATAATAAAAGTTGTTAAGTCCATTTAAATTTAAACAATTTTTCTAACAAAGACCTTTTCTATCTCTATATAACAAAAATTATTCAATGCCCAAGTACATCACGGGGTTAATATGAATTCATCATTTAAACAAGGTTCATGTTTGGCATAAGTTACTTTGGTTATTTTAGTAACAAAAAGACAAAATAAGATGAAAAACCAATAAGGCAAAAATATCACATTTAAATCATAATCATTTCATTTTTTTCTCTCACAAAAGTCAAAATAGTAAAAAAAAAAAAAACCATCTCAAACGAGATTTTTTAACCTCAAATTAAAATAGCCAAAAAATCAAAAAAATCAAAAAATCAACCTACATCCCAAACGAAGGCCTGATGTATAATACTTGATAAGAAAATTACATTTGGCAATGAAGTGTGTAACCTTAAACTTAATGTCATAGTATTCTTCATTACAACCTATCCTCTAGTACTCCTCTTGCTTGGTTATGTTTTAATTTTTGTGTTTTAATTTTTTAAGTAAACTACCAATAGGTTCTAATTGTTAAACTTAATTCCCATCAAGTCTTATTAAAAATAATTATTGATAAAATTGTCACTAAAAATAATATTTTTGTAACAATTTTTTATATATGTCACTAAAAATTGACAATTAGTGACTTTTTTTGTCATGATTTTTATAAATTATCGCTAAAACTTACAATTAGTGACATTTTTTTATGACAAATTTTTTCTATAAGACCTATTAGATAATAAATTCGCTTATTAGGACCTACACGTAAGTATCCCTAATTTTTTCTATTTGCAAAAACAAAAACAAAAAAAAAAAATTTAAAGCACTCATCATTTTCATATCGCTTTCATTTTTAAGGAGAATTAGTTTTCGAAAACTCAAAAACAACATATCATATAAAGTTGGTTGTCTTCCAAATAAAAATAAATAAAACCCGAAAACAATTCACCAAAATAATTTTTCTGTGCTTTTTAAAAATGAAAACAGAAAATGAAACACAACCAAACAAACAGCAGTTACTCAGGTAGCGAGTATCTTCCACTTAGTTGGGGAAGATAGACATGGATTTGGTACCTATCTCCACATCTCAGTTGACCCGAAAATAAAGTATACTTTCTATATGCCTAAAATATACATTCCTCTTGCCTTTTAGCAGTTATTTTACAGAAATATGTATTACAGAAATTATAAATATATATATATATATATCAAGAAGAATCAATGACCATTTCATTGTCAGGAGGGGGTGCTGAACTCACGGAAACATTTTCCGTTTCCATTGCCATAATCTCTTCATCTCTCTTATTATCTACAACCTCCTCAATCTTCAATCTCTGTCACAGGAGAGATATTTGATGAAACAATATTTCAAATAATCCACAAGTGATGAATAAGTGCACTTTATAGAGAATGCAATCAACAGATGAACACCATGCTCCTTCTATGTGACATGGTGGAAGCTTCATCATTTCTAGATATAAGAACCAAGAAAAAAAATAAGTGCAAAACAATATCTTGCAATAAACTAAAGAAGAAACTTCGAGGGCAATAGTGTTGTGAAAGCAACTGTAAGCGGTCAAGTGATGAAAATGGCAGTGAAGATCTGGGCAGCAGAAGGTTTAGAGGCGAGGGTGGTGACGGTAAACAACAGAAGCAGAGGTTGCACTAGTAAATCTGAACGTGTCAATGACAACAGTAAAGTGATCAGGATGAGTTTAAGGTTTTACATTAGAATTATTGGTTGTACCGTCAGCGAGTGAGGTGAGGGATAAGTTGGCAATTGTTGTTGTTGTGTTTGTGTGGATATGCTGGAGTTGCTGATAGATGAAAAAATTTATTGCTTTCACAAGCAATTAATTTCTATACAAGCACTAAGGTTTTTATTTACATATAACATTAAACATGTTTATTTTTATTTTTAAAAACTAACATAAAAAAACATGTTTTGTACGAATGTATTTTAAAAACTTGCTCTGAAAACAAGAGGCGGGGGGTGGTGGCCAAAAGTGATTGTCCGCCCTTGGATGTGATTTCCGGAAAGAGGTGATTGACGCCTATGGGAGGTAGTTGATGGTGGCCAGTGGTTCCCGGCCACGGAGATGGTGGTCAAAGCTGGAAATAGTGGTCGGAGGGGAGGGGGCCAGATGTGGTGTCCAGTGGTGGGTGGTGACCCGAGGGGGAGGGGAGGAGTAAGGAATAGAAACTTTTTTCTTAACAAATGAAACCAACTTTTATGTGGTTACAAAAATTTAGTAAATTCTGCAAACTATTTACAAGTTTTGAAAACAAAAATAGATATCAAACGAGTTGACAGCTTTCAATTTTTTTGTAATTATAAATAAAGAATGATAAATATAAACATTACCAAACAGGGCCTAAATATTGTAGTTTTGTTTTTATGAAGTACATTATTGCAATCAAATTTGGGAAATAGTTTCACAACAACTAACCTTAGTAGTAGCCACAGAAGAGTCCTTTGTCATACGAGAAAACATGTTCGAGTAGAGCTTTGCGTCTCTCTTATTGCTCTCAGCTTGACGTTGTTTCAAATTCTTCTGGATCAACTTAAGCTCCCTGAAAAGCAACTTTGCAATGCTAATTGTCCCTATAAATTACATAATGTAAACAGGCAATGGAAAACAGACCCAAGACTAAGTTTGGACAGACCGAATTACATATCCATACCTGTTCTGAGAATCAGCCTCCAGGGCCTTCTTGATGTCCAATTCAGCCAAGTCTAAATCTGCAATTTCCATATAAGCTTGCGCTCGCCGATACAAAGCTTTTATATTATGGAACTCCACATCTAGGACCTGTTAAGGGTTGAATGTGACAGACATAAAATTAAATATGCAAATAGTCAAGCTCAGTATCAAGTTATCCAATTTGGTTCCCCAAAATGTTGACTAGTTTGTTCATACTTTCGTGCTTGATATCATGTGCACATCACACTGCTACATCCATGGCATAAAAGCACCATCTACTTTATTTTGAATTCTTTTCAATTTAATCCAAGTTAGTTTTATGAAGTCTTCCCACATTAACCAAAATCCACTTCTTTAGTTTCTCAATTTTACAAATGCATGTTAGCAACTTTGCATTTACTCTTTACCTTAGAACACAGCTTGATTGCTTCATGGAAATCATTCAGCTTGAGGCTGCAAGCTGCACCATTTAGCCAGCATGACACTCTTAATGCTTTGACTAGCTTTTGATCATCATCTCCAAAGGAAACATCTTCACTAACATAGTCAGCTGCCTAAGGCAAATTATTAATTGAAAAAAATTAAGCAATAGCGAGCCTCATTTAGTTCAAGAGAAATCACATGTCACATGTACTACCTTGTCATATTTTTTGCCAGCTCTTTGGTACTTTCTATTTTTAAAGAGTATATTGCCTTCTTCTTTCTTCCTCTCTGCTGCCTCAATTTTCTCTGGATTACTCATTTCCCATGGTGCTTTCTCCTTTTTATCAGACAAATAGAACAGGAAGTAGTAAGAATTTTGGCAGCATCATCATAATAATCTATTGGGAGGAGGTATCTTTTTGGCAAGTTAAATAAGAAAATACAAGTTGTATCAGAAACCTCATTGCAAGAATAGAAATAATATGTATTAGGTATTCAAATGAGGAACTTTTGGTAATCCTCTGAACAAGAGAAAAACGATCTGATAGCACTTATAAAATCTTTGAAGTATGCTTATATTATAGATCACCCCAAGTTACGTAAGCATAATGTGTCACTAAAACATTGTCAAATTCATTAATTGGTTAATTTTGTAAAAACAAAAATATTTGAGTTTAGAAAAACTATATTTTCATCATCTCTCGAAATGACCACTTTATCTCCAATGATGGTCAGCATTTAAAGTCCTATATGACTCGCACGTAACATAATTTTATTGTCCTACAGCTAATATCAACTCATCATACATTTTAAACTTTCGCTAGTGCAGAAATCACCTTTACAAAATCCAACATTTCAACTTCATAGACTATAGTTGAATTTGGTGGAACTACAGCGAGATCACGCTTAGCTTCTGTGCCGCCAAATCCATATTCAGAAGCAATTGTCAATATTGCCTGCTCCCTCTTCTTCATTGTTGCTGCTGCTAAGTCCAATCCAGCAATTACTTGTTCTACAAACAGACAAATGCAAACAGTTAGTTATAGCAGGTCCTCGTACTATGAAATGAAGCACCAACATTTAAAATAGGTACAACACTTTTGACATGGCAACCAAGTTCAAAGTTTGTTTGGGCACATAAAAAGCATCCACTTAATTTCTATAAAAAATATGCACTGTGCCATGCCTTTTATTGAGCAGCACCTAGTCATTTGGTTCTAAGGACAAGGATGCTCAACAAGTTAACATCATATATTAATAACGTGGCCTTATGTCTAGTCTAGTTAATGGGGAGTTTCCATGCCCAACAACACCCCATGTCCATGTTTTTTTTTTTTTAAAACACCCCATGTCCATGTTGAAGCGTTACACTAATGACATGTCCATCATGATCATCTGACACACATTTAAAGTCAGAAGAGACCAAGAAAATTTTAATATGGAATAACCTTCATCTGTAATGAACTCCAATGGCCCTTCTTCAAATCCTTTCTTCTCAAACACAGTGCCATCTTCTAGCATGGCTGTATACCTAACTGCAGAAATTTGCAAACAAAACATCAAAGTGAGCTACAGGAGAAACTGAGCTATACTTGTAAGTTGGAACTATAAACAGAAGCAAAATCAGTAAAGTTTACATTCACATTATGAAGTACAACATACATTTACTACATATTTAAAGCTTTTGCATATCTTCTACATTCACCTGTTTATTTTATTTTGTTTTGTTTTTTCTGATGGTTGCTATTTCAAGAACAAAAGGCTCCAATCATAGTCCGCTTAGACACGTGGTTTTTGCATGAATGTACAACAATAAAGCAGGAAAAACCATGCACAAGTGTATCCATGATTTCTCTAAATTTATTTGGTTGCTTCAAATACTAACACAAATGAGAAGATTTAAAACCAAGACTATTAGACTGTGTTTGGATCTTGGAATTGTAGAGAGATTTGCCAAGGAAAAAGTGAATGAAATAGCGGTTTCTTTTTTTTTTTTCACTTTTCCCTTCACAAACCTCTCCACAAATCCAAAATCCAAACCCAGCATTAATCTAATGGCAATCAGGTTGAGAAAGAAAAAAAGAAGAAGAAGATAGTAGTTGTAGCAAAGAGAATCTGATTGATAGGTTAACATGATGAAATAGAAAGGTTCTTATGACTCTCTCTGTCACACATACACACACACAGCACGCACATAACTATAGTGTACATATGTTTTTCTTTGGCTTGATTGTCATAAGGCAGAATCTATACTGCGGCATGAATATCCCATCTTATCAAGAGAAAATGCCTATATCTTTATGCAAATGACCATTAACTGGAATAAAAAATAAAATAAAACACGCGAAAACTAACAATCCAGAATGTGATCTGAGCTGCCAATGGACACCCTTATCAAGCACAAAACAACTCAATCTTTTTACCTATTTTTAATACCAAATTTGGTTGTTATTCATAATCATACATAACTCTACTGGACTTTGAAATAAATATTAACAGCTTAGTTGATAAATGTTGCTAAGTGCCCAGTGCATGGAGCGGGAGTGGGAGCAAGAGTGTGAGACCACCAACTATGAAATGCATAAGATTGAGAGCACCACCAAAGGGTCTACATTAATACACATGTAATTTTTATACCTTATTATCGTAAGTTGTTACAATTTTCTAATCCATATTGATTCGATAACATTGCTCAAAAATGTAATGTTCACATTGGGATACTCACTGGTAACAGCTGCTCCGTCATTTGCAGTGAGAGTGCCTTCCCCTTCTTTCAAAATCTTCTTCATTACCTTGGAATCATCAGTAACATTAATGACAGGCTTGAATGACACCAGCTCCAGATCAATGTTTAATACAGCATTTGGTGGTATCAAAGGAAATTCATTTTTAGAATTGTTACCACTCTCTCCAAAAGCATCTGCAACAATTATTTTTCGGCAGTGAAAAATCTTAGAGGTACATTAGAAATCTATAGAGCTAACAGAAAGGTGGGATGTGAGTTCTTCCACTAAATCTTTCACCATCATGAAATGCTAAACAACAGCTATAGAAGCAATGCTAGAATGATAAAAACAATCATATATACTAGAGATTTATCCAACCAAACCATGAAAGATGTGCTTGAGCTTTTGAACCATTCGATAATAGCCCAAAAGTTGAATAAAATCAATGGCCCAGTTATACGTTTGACTAAATAAAGAATATGAAAATGCAAAAGATCATTCACCTAAAGTGTGTATTTGGCATGCTACTGAGTTTCAAAAAGCATAAGTTGGACAGATATTTTTCAAATAATTATTAAATAAGTCCCAAAACTCTACAAACAAACAATGATGATGGAAGGGCATACACTTAGGTTGAATAATTAGATTGACCTTCTCTCCCCTTCTCATGGTCTTGAGTGCTTTTGGCAGTGCTGGACAAAAATGGCCTAAAAGAATCAAACATCAATATTTTCCATAAAAGATGTCAGTGGAACTATACCCTTATACTTCACTGCATTGTAAATGTTTAATCCGAAAAATTAAAAACAAATGTAAATCATTATTTTCTTAGCCAATTACCATCTTTCACATGAAATTCGACTCCTTCTTCTGGTGTTGTTGCAACTATAGCACCATCATCCAGCCTCACCTGATACTTCACTGCATTAGAAACCAAAAAAAAAAAAAATCCTTGAATCATTGTTCTTACAAGTAAAACAACAATTGAAAAATGCAACCTAAACAACCTAATAACATTGAACTTGCCATCAATGAAAATCATATGGAATCAAATAACTAATTAATAATAAAAAAAAATAATATAGATTACCGAGAACTTCATCTAAATCACCAGGTGGGCCAATTTGTTCTCCCTTCTCCATAACTTTCTTGATAATTCCACCATCCTTGCAAACATCTGCTACTGTGATCCATGAGATGAGATCCACTTCAAACTGAATAACACAATTGGGAGGGACACCATTTGTGCCTGTGGCTCCATAACCCAATTCTGGGGGCAGCGTGAACAATGCCGTCTCCCCCTTCTTCATGGTAATGATTGCATGGTCCAATCCAGTAACCACTTGACCTAACCAACCACATCAATAAACCAATCAAAGTTGAAGGAAAACCAAAAAGTAACTCCATGAAAGTAAAGAATCACAGAGGCAAACATTATCCTTCTTCTAATAACCCCAAAAAAGAAAATGAGTTTGTATTGAAGATAATACACATTGAAGGGCAGAACTAAATTAAGCCTAGGATCAGTTCAGTGGCAGGTTTATGGATCATCGGGCATGAGAACCAAAATATTTAAATTTCGTTTGTTCACCAAAATTGTTTCAACAACCAAACAGAGCAAATGGCATTCTTCCTAAACCAAAAAGAATGAAGGGTTAATTTCACTTTTATCTCCAAAACTATTACCATTTTTCCTGATTCATCCCTAAACTACAAATTTCATCTATTTAGTCCCCAGAGTATCTAATTTCAATTTACAAATGCTTGATTTGATGAGCGAAAAGTTATTTTAATGTTTAAATAACTTCAACCACACAAGCAAGCATTCATTTTTTACAATATTTTGAATAAACTACCCCACAACCAATTTGGTGGGAGTTTGGTTATATAGTTAAATTATTCAAATTTTGAAATGATATTTTTACCATCAAATTAGGCTTAAACTGTTACTGATTCTTACAAGAGTCTCCAATTGGCCTACATGAATTGAAATCATAAATTTTTTAGACTAAATCATAAATTTTTTAACACAAAAATGAAAACAAAAGAAAGCAAACTGAGATTTCGATGAGGAGAACACAAAAACTCACCTTGGCCAAGCTTGAAATTGAAAGGTTTATCTTGATCACTAGTGGAATCGAACTTGGTTCCATCAAGTAAAGTACCAACATAGTGAACTGTATTCAATTCAATCAATCAAACAAACCCCATTCACAGAGTGATCAAATGCAACATATAATTACAATCAAATCATCAAAAGGATTAGAGAGAGAGAGAGAGAGAGGGAGAGAGAGAGAACGTTACCAGTGACTTCGTCGCCGAACTCAGGGGTATCCCAACCTAGACCACTCTTGAGGAGCTTCTTCTTGATACCAGAGGAGTTGATTTCTCTCTCATCACCGACCTTGAGAGGCGGTGCTGATTCGATTACCTCCCCGGGTTCTTCATCGTCCTCGTCCTCGCCCTCAATGCCTGATACATTGGTTGCCTTCTCTTCCACCATTGTAAGAACCTTCCCAATCGATCCAATTCAACTCTCTGAATTTTATGAAAGGGGCTTCTCTGATCAGCTACCAGAGGCGGTTCACTGGACACTGTGATTTCATCAAATCTAACGGCTGTTTGTGGTTTTTATTTATTTCCATTACCGTTTTTAACTTTTCAAAAAAAAAATTTAAAGATCCATCTTATTAAAATTTTATAAGATGAAAAATAATAAATATTATAATAGTAGTTAGAAGTGAGCAGCAGATATACCTATCCGTTCAAATCGATCAGATCGAACCGATCTACCTCATTTTAGACGGATGCGTGACGACAAGCGGATGGTCGCGAATTGATTTTTTCCAATCTGACTAGTTTTGGATAGATGGCGAATTTGAAGTTCATTTGGCCGCAACCAAATCGCCAAACCGCCAACACCCTTAATAATTTGTAAGATTTTGTGTTTTCAATTTGTTTACATATTCTTTTGAATATATTCTGTTGAAAAAGAGTTTTCAACTTGAATATATTTTTTGAATTGAAAAAAAAATAAATGCGTTATTTATCTATATTTTTTTGTTTTTAAATTTAACTCTAAAAATAAAAAATATGATATATGTTGGTTGGTTTTTGTTTTCAGAAACAGATATAGATATAATAATATAGAGGCATACGATCTTTACTATTGCTTTGTTCATGATTTTGGTGGTTTGAATTATTTTTATATTTTAAAAATTACATATTGTAATACTTTATGTGGATGAAGTATGCAATGATTGAAATATTTTTTTAAGTCATTGACTGTAATTTTTTAATTTTTTAATTTTTTTGAGAAAGTACACGAATTGAATTATGTTGAAAATTTATAAAATTTCAAACCATCAAACCGATTCGCATCCATCAGTCAATCCGATCAATTCGAATCCGCCGAATTGACGGATGGATGCAGATTGATTTTCTCCAATCCGCCAATCTAACGGACGAATGGCGGATTAGAAGTTTCGTGATCGCAACCGACCTGCGCCCACCCTAATAGTAGCTAAGGTTTTTAGAAAATAACGAAATAGCTAAGGTTCTTAGAAAATATAGAAATAATTTTCTAACGAAAATATCCTTATTTATTGAATTCTAGCACTAACATATATACACTTCAACATCTTTCACTTTTTGAAAAATTTAAAACTTAAAAATTCAATAACTTTTGATTTAGATATCTATTTTTAATGTAAAAAAAAAAATCATATTGCTAAAATGCTCTCATCAAAATCTATCAAATAAGATTCTTGATGAATATGAAATTTCAAAAAAAAAATGATAAATTTCACTGAGTTGGCGATCTTCAGTTAATGCAATTATGAAATTTATCTTTGAAATTGAAAATTTTGAATTTTTTCTGAAGAATACTAAAATTTCTCCAAGTGAAAATTTTGAAATTTTTCTAAAAAACCTACCAGACGACCGCTCCTACAATCGCTCGAACATCTTCCCCAACATCCAACCCATACGTCAAACTTTTACACTTAATAGATACGAAAATCTAAATGAAGGACAAAAAAAGAACAGAAAATAAAAACACGCACAAAAAGAACTTAAACAACTACTAATTTTAAAACACAGAGGGACCTTACCTCTTATAAATCTTCTCATAATCCTTCACCTACTGTATACAAGGCAACGGGGATATGTGCCTAATTTTCTCTAAAAAGGAAATCGAAAACACTATAGTATAATTTTATATTATTTTCCATTTTTAATGTGACATGAAGCCATTGGAATAATCACAATCAATAATAGTGTTGATCAAATGATACATACGTATAATTTCATAAAATTTGATACGCACATAATTTTATGGTTTATTTTTAATATTTGTAATGAATAATTAATTTAGAGAATAATTTTGACTTTAATATTCATTTTAATTAATTAACACAAAATTATAATGTTTATCTCTCTTCATTATACATATCCACTACTCTCATAAAGACTATTGTGCTCTAAAAAAAATATAAATGTAGAGTTTTTTTGTTTTTTTTTTTTTCAAGTCGCCCAAACTTCAAATTACACCTCTACATCTTTATTTTTTAAGATAAATTACAAATACACACCTTGAAATTTTCTTAAAATACGAATTGTCCCTATAGTTTAAAAAATTAAAAATACATCCTTGTCAAAATTTTGTATTTAACAATTGAAAAAGTGAAATTTTCTAACTGTTCACCTATATAATAATAAAATTACTTAAATTATTAATTGAAATAAAATTTTAACATTATTAAAAACTGTTAATTGACTTGATAATTTATTAATAAAATGATCTATTTGTTATGAAATTAGAAACCTTAAAGAGCATAATATAATTTCTAAAACTATGAGAGGTAATTTATAATTTAAGTAAATCTCAGTAGATGTGTTTGTAATTTATCCTATTTTTTACATACCCTTGCCAACATACTGCATTCCAAAATTCCAATAAAATAAATATAAAATTAGCTGCATTTAAGGTAGATTGTTCTGTAATAAATCCAACTCATAGGTTGGCTAGATATTAGAGCCGCAAATGAACCGAGTTGTTGATGAACAAACTCGGCTCGGCTAGGTTCGTTTAGTAAACGAGTCAAACTCGAGCTCGAATATTAGGCTCATTTAGTAAACGAGCAGAACTCGAGCTCGCATAAGTTTGACTCGTCAAGTTCAGCTCGTTTATCTTTATTTAAATTATATAATAAATATATTATTTATATTTAAATTATTTATTTATTAAATAATATAAATAATATTAAAAAAAATTATCGAGCCGAATTCGAGTTTCATTAATATTAACGAGTCGAGCCGACTCGAGCCCAGTTCCTTATCGAGCCAAACTCGATCTCAATAAACGAACTTGATAAGTAAACGAGCCGAACTTGAGCTCAGCAAAGTTTGGCTCGGCTTGGTTCGTTTACAACCTAAACATGAGGCATGAAAGTATCACAGTATATCATTAAACTAGATAGCTTGTAAATACCTTAAAAATACCAAGTCCATTTCAAAACATGTCATCTTTTAAACTAAATCATATTAGGCCCCAAGTAAGTACACTTTAATAATTTTACAACGTTACGGACAACATGATATTTATATCAAAAGTCATGAAATATGACAATTGATACAGTTTTCCAGGTTTGGAAGCCAAAAATCCTATCTCATATTTTTCATTTTCACAAAAATAATCAAAGCATAACAATGTGCATATCACTCTTTAAATCTTGTTTTAATTTAGAGAGAAAAAAATGATTGATTGATGTGTAGGAGAGAGAGAGAGAGTGATTTTGAAAAAAAAAAATCAAAAAATTTGAACTTAACAAAGTTTTGAAAATTTTTCTCAAAAATTGTATCTTGAGATACAAACTAAACAAGTCTTAATTTTTTTTATATATAAATAAGTGATAAACTTCATGCATATTAATGATTAAAATTATAAATTTTTACATAAATTTGTAATAATTTTTTCATGGTACCACTTAAGGATAATTTCTCCTTCAATCTTTACACAGAAAAAATATTATGTAAAATATTAAAATAGAGATTTATTATTTGCCCTTTGATTTCACAATTAATGTCAAACATGGTTATTATAAGTTGTTACTTTTTAACAATATTTTTAAAAGCAGAACTGATCTAAACTCCTATCCAGATAGACCATTAAGCTCACTTTAGCTCAAAAATTGAATTATTTTTGTTAAATCGATCACCTGCAGGAACCAATATCTAGTTCAAGGAACTATGCGGACTATGCCAACACACTTGTTCAAAGCATTACATTACATGACAACAAAACACTATACAGCTTGAACATTATCCAACCTTTATATATATATATATTTAAAGATTTCTGGAGGGGTCAAAAGAATTTTTTTTTTCATCATATATACAAATATATATGTATGTATAATATAATTTATAAATTATATATATATACATAGAAAAAAAAAACTAAATACCATAGAAACAATCTCTAATAGGTTAAAAAAGTTTTTTGGTACAAAATAAAAAGAGAACGCAAGATAAGAGAAAAAAAAAAAATATATATTTTATATTGAGAGGCTATTTTACATATAAAATGATGTATATATATATATATATATTTTTAAAGTGTTATGATAAATAATATTTTTCACAGAAACATGGGATCATGGCCCCTCGTAGTATTCTCCTAGTTCCGTCTTTCTCCCTAGGGCCAAAAAAATTACAAAAAGCTAGAAGTTTCCAAAAGAACAAGAGCACGGAGAGATGTCGGGACATCCTCCATCCAAACCCGCTGGTTCTCCAAGTGTAAAGACAATCTAGCCAAGTAATGAGTAGCACAATTCCCCTCTCATTGAAGGATGATCTAGCAAGCTAGCTCAACACGAATCGCATAGGCTACGTGACCAAAAGCTGCAAGATCAAAACAAGGATCCTTGACTACATTATTGATTGTCATTAACGAATCCCCCTCCAACTAAACATCCCGAATGCAAAGGTCTCGGCCAAACTGAAGAGCAATCAACGTTGCCATTAATGCCAAAAAATCCACATTCACAGTAAAAGGAATCTGAGTAGACATTGAAGCAACAACTTGGCCTGCTGAATCACGCACAATAACTCCAACACCTGCCACCTTTGAGTCCTTAAAAATAGGACCATCAATGTTAAGATTGAACACTCTAACAAGAGGCAGTGATCAAGTAGAGACCAGTCCATCTAACGGGTTAACTTGCACCTTCTGTACCCAACGTTTATATATAGTAAGTCGTTGTTGTTTTTATTTTTTATTTTTCTACACAAGTATAATTCTTAATTTTTATACAAATAATTAAATAAATATTTATGTATAATCATATATATATATATATATGTTTGATAAAAATAATTATATGAATAATACATGTATCTCAAAATATAAAAAGGTTAAATAAATATATCTTAATACCTAAATTTCTATTTAAATATAATTTTAAGATAATTATAACGTCACGTTTGATTTTGATTGACCTACTAATTGAATCAGTAACCTAGCACCCAATCATTTTTTTGACTTGACCAACCATCCAAGCTTTGAAACATTGCTTCTTAGTCCAAATTTTATGTAACACATCGCATTGCGTTGTTGTTGAAAGCAATTACCTTATTATTAGTTTTAAGCAAATTTTTAGTAATTTATATTTATATATATTTTTTTTATTTTTATGAATACAGTTTAACAACTCAACTTGGCATTTCATTGCGAAGGTCTTAATAAATGGACTACGCAATTTGGCTTTGTTGAAACTTGCAACAAACCCCAAATAAATGTCTTACGAAACCACATTGCATGGCCCAAGGGGTTGCCACATGCTCAAACAAATTTTGCATAATTTAAATATGCATCTTTCCTTAAATTCTTAAGTCAACTAACAAAAACAAATTTGTATTTAACTCACCACAAATATATTTAAAATTAACACATAATTTAAATAAATCAAACCTAACAAATTTTAAATGTCATTCACTTTATTTGGTTTTAATTTTTTGAATTCAAATTTTTTTAAATTAAATTTTTTGTTTTTTGTATTTTTTTTAGTGAATTTTTTTATATTAAGTAAATTTTTTATTTTTTAAATGCACCTAATTTAGATATACCTAAAAAGTAAAATATTTATAAAAAAATATTTTAAAAAATTAATAAATACACAAAAATATGAAAATGTACTAAATTTTGTATTTTTCTTATATTTTTGGTATTTAGAAAATTTTTTAAATATTTTTTTCACAAATATTATACTTTTTAATTATATTTATATTAAGTGTATCTAAAAAGTAAAAATTTTCTTAAAATATTAAAAAAAATTTACTAAAAATTTAAAAATATGAAAAATAAAAAAACTTAACTTTAAAAAAATTAAATTCAAAAAATTGAAACTAAACAAGGTGATTATTTTTTTAAAACTCTACTCGATAAATTTATATACATATTATAAAAAATCAAAATGAATTTTTTTTAAGGTTCCAGATTTTATAAGATAAAAGATGTACAATATTTTCATAGTAATTGAGGTCGCTCAACATTTTCACAGGAAAAATCGACTCAGAGAAATTTGTGCCTAGTTCAGAGAAATTTCAACCTCAACACAGAAAAATTTTAATTTTCACAGAGAAATTTTATCGAAATACCTTAGCTAATAAAAAAACATGTTGAACCTCTCGTAGGCCATCTCCAACGTTTAACCAAATTTATCACCAAATTTAAATTTGGTGAAAAAGTATACTTTTTTGGTTTCTAATGGTTTCATCAAATTTGTATCAAATTGAGAACATCCCAAATCTTTCACCAAAATGAGGACCTGGGCCAGCTTTCATCAGTTTACTGTGCGTGAGCGTTGGGGATGGGACCCACCGGACGATCGGCTGGTTGTTCTCCTGGTCATCCTATTAACTGCACAAAATTGAAGAGGAAACCTAAACCCTCCATTCCAGCGTGGCTCCTTCTAGGGTTCTTCAACGAATGGTTGATTTTTTTACTTCGACTCACCGAGCCAAGTGGATCTCCTCTCCTCAAGATTTGGTACATATTAATGCCTTTGATTTTCTGTGTGGTTGCTGTGAAAATGGAGGAAAAAACAGGAGAAAACCTTAAATTATGGTTCTATCACCACTTTTTAAGGTTTCTGAGCAAGTGTACAAAACTCTTTTTTTTGGCCTTAAGATTTTAAATTTTCTTTTCTTTCCCTGCAGTTTCTTGACAACCAAAAAGGGAATAATTTCTAACTGTTTTTTTATTTATTTATTTTTATTTTAAGGTGTAGGTTTTAGATATTTTTTCAATTTGTCCTACTAAAAGTAATTTTGGTAATTGATTTTGTGTAGAAGGAGAGGTACAAAGCTGGTAATCTAAGAGCAAAGTTAATCCTGGAGAAGGTATGGAGAAAATCTTTCTTCATTCTCTCTAATATATATATATATATATCCAAGTAGCTATTACAAATATTTGTTCTTCTTGCTCTTATGTTCTCTGTAAATTCATTATCTTGTGATTATCACAAGTACTTGTCACAATCAAATTTGTAGTTTTATTTTTATTAGAAAGAACTGTTGTAGTTAGCATATCAAAGTTATCATACTTTCAACACATCATGCAATATATTTTCAAGTATGGAACAACAAGAAATGGCAAAGATTTAATGGAGGGAAAAAAAAAATGAAAGAGGAATTGAGCGAAACAGAAATGGAGGGGAAAAAAAAAATTTCATTTTTCTCTTGTCGGTAGATCGGCCGGTCATCCTTTAGATATTCTGTTTTGATGAAAACTATAATAGTTCACTGTTAGAGTGACTGATATCAGAAAGAGGAATTTATCATATTTGATGAAATTTTTGGTAAATTGTTGAAAATTCCATTACTACACAAAATTAAAGATGAATGTTTTACTAATTTCCCAAAATCAAATTGCTTAAAATTATCATTTCCTTTGTAATATCATAAAAGATTTCAAAAACTTAGAAACCAATGATCCATTTATCCTTATAAAAAAAAAAAATTACGTTATAAAAATCTTTAGTACTCATTGGTTTAATGGGTTGCTCCATCTTAACTAGCAATGAAAAAAAAAATACAAAAAAGTAAGCTGATAATATAAAACAAAAATGCTAAAAATCCTAAATAAATTATTAAATATTCTACATAATATATACAAATCGAATAAAATATTTAGTAATTTATTCGAATTACTAACATTTCTCAATATATAATTATATAATTAATATAGAATCATTTTCAAGAATCGCTTCACAAGTCCCACCTCCCCTCAACCAAACAATATTTTGGACAAGTTAGCTTCAAGATCTACCCTAATAAGATTGTCCAAGAGGGTGCAACACCTTGTCATTAGCATGGATATAAAAATAAATAAATAAATAAATAAAAACCAGCGACAAAATTAATTTAAGACAAAAATAAACAAATAAAAGAAGAAAGCATTTTCCTTCAAAACAAAATCCCACTTCACTTGTATTAACAACAACCAGCTTTCATAGACATATAAAACAAACAAACAATCTGGTAAAGAAAAGGAGATTTATTCAATCCCCCCCTATTGATATCCAACATTCCCCAAAAAAAAAATATATATATATATTTTTTAAAAAATACTCAGAATTTGAAATGTTAAAATTCTGAGTTTTTTTTTTTTTTAAACAAAAAAAATTAAATTGAGAAAAGGGCAAAAGGAAAAATGGCAGAGAGAAGAGATCAAAAGGCAACAGCACTTGTCTTTGTGACAGCATAACTTCTGCTTCTAGGATACACCAACAACTCCTTCCTAACATTAACACTGTTGCAATTGTTATCCCCAAACTCACAAGGCCTCTCTTCATCAATCCTCCCCATCCCAACACTACAGCTCCTTGGCACCACCCCCGCCGCCGTGGACCGCCTCATCTGCCGCCTCTGCATATCCATATCCATATCAACTCCCAATCTCCTCGTCGATGCAACCCTAATCAGCTCTCTCAGATCATCGCTATCCGCAGACGATGATCTCGACGAAGAGCTCACGCTGAAGCTCTTCGGCAAGCTATGGATCGGTCCCGATTGAATGCCCATCGCGCTGCCATAGCTAACCCTTTCCGAACAGTCTGTAATGCTTCGAACGTAGAAGTCTCTGGCTTTGCCCAAAGCCCTAATTGGTATCGTAATGAATCGCATGAACCTGTTTTGGTTGCTTGCTTTGGTTCTCATACTTGAGAATTTTGATGGGAAATTTGCTTCTCAATGTGGATGTATGTATGTGTAGATAGATGCGAACACAGAAGATTGTGAAAGCAGACAGATTTAAAGACGTGATTTGAAATGAGGTGTTTAGCAGAGAAAATTTGGGAGAGAAAAGGTGGGTTTGGTTTGGATTGGGTTGGAGTTGGTTTGATTTTGTAGAGCGTGTGGACAAAATAAGCCATCATGTGATTGTTGAGGAAAAAGGCAGTTGCGTGTGGACTGTTCTGTATCATAGCACACCGGTTTAGAAAAAGACTACCAGAATTTGGTTTGATTCACTTTTTAAATTTTTTTATTTTTTTTATTTTTACTAATTTTTTTTAATATTTTAAGTATTTTTTAAAAATTTTAAATACACCTAATATAAATATACTTAAAAATATATATTTATAAATTTTTTTTAGAAAATTTACTAAATACCAAAAATATATATAAAAAAAAGATAATTCTATTATTTATTTGTGTATTTATTAATTTTTTTATAAATATTTTATTTTTTAGTTACATATAAGTAATTTGTATCTAAAAAAGTAAAAAAAAAATGCTGAAAATTTTAAAAATATTCATTAAACAAAAAATATGAAAATTAAAAAAATTCAATTTTTAGAAAATTAAATCCAAAAAATTGATACTAAGCACAGTGAATATACTTCTACTATTAACTTTAACTATAAAATTCAAAGTAATTTTTTTTTCGAAAAATATTTAAAACTCATAAAAATTTTCATTTATGATGTGCTAACTTTTAATTTGTTACACATTCAATATGAGACCCAAATCTTTTGTCACATCATTATGGGTGAATTTATGGGTCTAATTCTAACATTTTTTTGTAAAAGTAATGTTAAAAATCCACACATTTATACATATAAGTATACCCACAATAATATGACATGAGAATTGGACTCACTATCATTAAGTATAGAACAAATAAAAAGTTGACACATATCTTATCACATTATTATCGGTAAAATTATAAATATTTTTTGAGTATCTCAAATATTTTCTTTTTTTATTTTATTTTATACAAATGTGAAATTCATAAAAAAAAAAGTTAGATGGAAAGTTGTGTTCGATTATGATTCAAAATTTTTAAAAACAATTCCATTTTATATAAAATGACATAGATTTCTATGGTATTTAATAATTTTAAAATTATTATTGTCATATCATTTTAAACAAATTTTGATTGTTGATTATTTTTTAAATGAATACATAAAAAAAAAAAAGATTTTGGTGACTGCTAGGGGTTTTCAACATTTGACTTTTTTTGGAAAGTCAATTCAGATGGCATTAATGACTCACGTGTCGGCCTAATATTCAAGTCATAAATGTAACTCAACAATCAAGTTTATGATGGGAATTTGTTATTGAGGAATGCTAGAGATCCCAAAAATTCTATTAAAGTTTTACCAAATGTTTTATATGGGTGTGGGACCCACATAATTTGGGTCCCATGTGGGTCCCACACCCATGTGAGACATTTGGTAAAATTTTTGGTAAAATTTTTGGGGCCTCTAGCATTTTTGTTTATTATTATATTAAATTTAAATTTATACCATATAATTTATACTTATATATAACTATTTTTAAAATTATTCTTTTATGATTTCATATTAAATTTAAATTTATATCATATAATTTATACTTATATATAACTATTTTTAAAATTATTCTTTTATGATTTCTTAAGCATGTGGCAAGGTTCATTATTTATCTTAAATTTAGTGGTATTTTGGCAAGCTAATTAAAAGTTAGTTTTTAATTTTTAATCTATTTTAAATTTCATTACCTTTCATATTTTATATTTACAAAAGGGCAAAAAAATTAAAAAAATCAACTTTTAACAAACTTTTCAAATTATCACCTTAATAATAATTAGCTGTCACTGGTTCTTAATCAATTTATAAGGTGGAAAGATTACATGACATTAGAGATATGCATTTTATATAGTCTAGTCACAATAAGAGTAGAGTCCATATGTGATAATGTGAATTTCACCCTATTGAGTAAATAGTATAGTAGAAAATGATGTATCATAACTCATTTTTTATAGGGACAATTACACACAAGTCTTAGCCTACGTTTGGGAAGTGGGTTGACTTTTTGGTTTTTTGGCTTTTTTGGCTATTTTAGCCTGGGCTAAAAAACTTGGTTTGGGAAGGGCTTTTTGGCTTTTTTGACTTTTTTTGTGAGAGAATAGTGTAATGATTATGGGTTGGATGTGATGTTTTATTTTTTGTGACTAAAATAGCTTATTTTGTCTTTTGTGGCTAAAATAGCCAAAAAAGCCCCAAAATTTTCTTTCCAAACGTAGGCTTAATTTATGAACTATACTCCATTAAGTCCTAACTAAGAGTTTTTGGACCTTCAAGTCCCATTAAATTTTTAATAGTCAGAATTGCCCTTCAAATAATGATTATTCCTCATTTATGATTATCTATAAAGGAATATGATAATTTGACATTTAGTTTAATTTTTAAAACTTTAAAATATCAACTTTTAAATTGAAAAAACTAAAAAAACAAAATTATGTGCAAAAAAAAACTAATTTTATTTTTGAAAAAATTGAATTATTATTAATTTTTTTGTGAAAAATTAAAAATTCCGTGTCTATAAAGGAGCATGATGATGGAACATTGATGTACAAAACTTTAAAAAAAAATATATATATTACAAATGAAAAAATTATAATGTTCTCAGTTTTAAAATTAGAAAAAAAAAAACTGATAATTTCTCAGTTTTAAAATTAGAAAAAAAAAAACTGATAATGTTCTCTGTTTTATTGGATAGTTAAATCAAACTAATAAGTAGAAGGACAAAAACGTTTAAACTCATACTCTGCTTGTTTTTTTCAACAGGTAGTGAAACAATGATTTGGAATACTATTATGCAAAATTGATAATATTTTTAGTTTTTAAACATGGAGAAAAATTGATAATATTCTCAATTTTACTAAATAGAACTTATTAATTCAAAAAAATATTAGATAGGACTTGAGTTACCATAACATTTGTGAATAAAATTTTTAAGTAATTAATTATTTTTTATTTTTGTTATAATGTATATATCTATTACCATTCACATTAATATATGAGCCGTCACAAATCTAATGAGCTTATGTTCCATGGTAGCTGCATATTTATTAGTGGAGTAGTCAATAGGATTATTAAGTCTTACAAATAAAATAAATACATTCCTCTTTATCCATACTAGTGTTTCATCCGTATTGTGTACGGATTGTGTTGATAATTACATATATACATATATAAATTTATTATAGTTTTAATTTCAATTTAAAAAAAATTATTTTAAAAGTATTTTATTTAGTTAGTAGTAAATAAAATTTTCTTAGCAAAAAGGAAAGTTATAAAATTTTGTTATAAATTTTCAAATGTCTATTGTTAAATATTCTATTCTATTTGCCTGTTTGTTTGCTTGCTTATTTTGGGAGTTTTAATCTTTGATCTTTGCCCCATATTTATCGTAGTATTTTATTTATTTTTCTTCTTCTTACTTGATTTTTGTATGATACTTCTTTAATAGTGTATCTCTGAGTGTATTAGTGAAAATATCATACATTTAAAATACACAAAATTACAATATATAGAAAAAGAGTAAGTAATTGCCTAAAACTAAAACTACTTTAAAAAAAATAAAAAAATAAAAACAAAAATGAAATTGTTTGAAATAGAAAATGATTTACTCATTTATTTATTAATTTTTAAAAATAAACTTTTAAAGAAAACAAAGAAAATTATATAAAAAAGTACAAAAACTAAATATAAAATATAATACAAAAAAATAAATGAATTATAAGATTTTCAAGAAGTAAGACTCACAAATAAATTGTGTAAAATATTGTCTATTCATATACTTTTTGTGTATGCTTTTTGTACTTCTAATCCCGAGAATGACATTGAAATAGTATATACTTCTTTCATTAAGTCCATCTAATAGCATTAGGTCTACCTAGTAGCTTTAGTAAACACAGATACAATAAATTTCATAACACAAAATACAAACAATTGTGAGACAAAATATTTAAAAAAAATAAAAGTAACGTTCAATGATAATGCAGAAGCATACCTGACGTTTTAATTGGAGGTATAACTAGATAAATTGCCATAATAGCAAAAGACAACCTTTATTTTTCATCACAACAATTACATAATTTTAATATATCTTACTCTTCTACATGTCCAATTCTCTATCAGTATTAAAATGAATGCATGGACCAAAAAAAGAAAACATTTGAGAAGACAAAGAGATGTGGTTTGAGACCTTTCAATTGCTGAATTCTATTAATTAATAGTTATTAGGCCTCAATGGCTGAACTTTAAATATTTGTTAACCATTAAAATTGAGTTATTTGATTTCATCTATATTCACTTGATAATTTGAGAGTGGACATGTGTACAGTCTTTACACAAATACTTGGCATATTTTTTCAGCATTATTAATGAAATGCACACTATAATTTTTTTTTCTTTTTTTTTCACAATTTCAACCTGTTATTTTTTAATAAAAATTTATATATTTTTTAGATTTTTTTTAATATACAAATTATTTTTTTTAGATTTTTGTATAAAAATAATTTAACAATTTCATCATTAATCGTAGTGTATGGAAGAAATTGAAAATGGTGCTTCATAGTTGAGCAATTTATTTGGTAAAAAGGACAATCCAATTTATTTTACTTCATAAACAATTTAAGAAAAAAAACATATAATTGGGTAAGGACAATATAATATATATATATATATATTAGACAATATTACTAGTGTAACAAATTACTGTGAATCAGAGTAACATGTTATTGTCAGACAAAGGAACATGTTACCGTGAGACAAACTTAACATGTTATTGTCAAACAGAATAACTGTCAAACAGAGTAACATGTTACTGTTACTATTTACATCAATTTCAACGGTAATTTTTTATTTTTATTTTAAAGAATTTTATAGCCAACATGGATCTTATTTGATAGATCTTAATGAGAGAATTCTAAAATACTAA